GATATTTATAGAAGAAATACAAAAGTTGTTGAGATCTGGAGCTCACTTCTTTCTCTTACACTCAAGGCACTCAGCCAGAAACTGTTTTCCCTCCAGTTAGTATGAGTCACTTGCCCTATAGAAAATCAAGGGTCTTCATCTGTGGTGAAAACAGGGCCTCAAAAACACCAGCAGTCAGCAATTCTAGGTGCAAGCTCTCCTCAGCCCATACACACATCTACTTCCTAACCACCTCCACCCAAGCAAACCTTTACCATAGAAAACACTTTTGGTCGGTCAGTAATGTAAAGAGACTGTGCCTTCGGGGTGTCATTCTTGCTTGTCGGCCATCCAGACATCCACCTGATTCAGGGGGCGTGTGAATTGCCAAGAGCAATAACACTGAAGCTTCGAGGAGAGCAGAATGAACTCTGACATCAAGGAAAGCAGCTCACACTGCAGCACAGATGTACAAGATAAGCAGAAGTGCTTTCATTTCTTTTCAGGCTAGAACCTTAAGCAAAAAGCCACTAGTTATAGCCCAGCTCGCAGCCAGCAATGTGCTATGGTTTACTTTGTGCAAAAGTATGATTCCCTGTCCACCCCCTTCCTTTTTTTTTTTTTTAAAAAAAAAAACAAAACAAACAACAAACAACAAAACAAACATGAGTTGAGGAGGCAAAGCATTAATTGCTTCCAACTTCACACTGGGCAATAAGGCACACTGGTAAGGGTAGGTTAGCCTGAATGGTGGCTTCTACATCCCTCTTATTTTTCTAAGCATTAAGGATTAACTAGTGAAAGGGGCCAGGAATGTGAGGTGACAAAGCAGCTATGATCACCAAGCACAAAGAAACCAAAGTACTAAATAACCGTCAAGTGAGAACACAGTTACCACTGATATCACCATCCCATGTAACCAAAAAACCCTACACATCCCTTCCCTCCCAAGGGATTTTTGATCATTAAGCAGAAACCGTCGTTTTATCTATCCATGGATCTATTCCTGATGAATCCCACATGCCTGCGCTCTCACTCCGTAATAAAAGCACCTGGTTCCACTCCAAGAAGGGATTAGGCTTGTAGGAAGTTCCTTGTTCCAGAATCAGGTGTCCACACACAGGCTTAACCCAGAACAGCTTCAAACATCAACAAGGCCCAAAATGGAACAGCTCATGAGAACCTGAACACTTCTGTAACAGACACACAACGTCTATGTCCACAGTCAGGATGACTTTTAAGACTGTAAATTCACTTTCACATTTGTTAGTGTGGAACTCTGATGTGTCACAGCACAAAAAGAGAGAAAATACGCTTAAGTAAAGAAAATAGTTGAACTATAAGAAATAATTTCCTTTGGAGGTGGAGTGCTAGGTGGACACTTTAATTACTCTCAAGACAGGAAATACGCCCATTCATATTGCCTAGGTAATATCACAAATATATACACACACACAATGAAGAAATAATTTTAATGAAATAATGTGACTGTAATTATACCTCTCATAATTATTTTGGTTGCAGTCTCGAAGCTTCAATCAATGCTAGCATTTGGGCGCTGTGCCACAGCTGGCAGCCAAGCCATCCCCCACACGGCTCAAAATTAGGACAGTCAAAGCAGCTTTAATCCTTCCAAGCCTGACCTGGAGCTCAGTCTTCCCAGAGTGGCAATTCAGCCACATGGCTAACTCCTGTGCCACTGCAGAGGCTTTGTGGACTGCACTGCATTTATCTGCCCCTACAAACGTTCTCTCCTGTCCTAGATTTTTAGTTTGGGGCACATTAGGGGAACATGAGATGAAACACAAGAGATTGGGCAAGGGGTAGGGTGGAGGAAGCTGTCTTTAGTTAAACACCATAATATTTTCTTTCGTTCTAGCCTTCCTGAGTACTTCAGAGAAGGCCGAGAAACAAAAGCATCCACCTACAAAATCTAAAGCTGGCAGCTGCTCGATCACTAACGAGGGGACTGTCCAATTCATCCCACCCCACTGCAAGCAGAGCTGAAGCAGTTGGGAAAGAACGAACCCCAGACTTAAGAGGATTATTTAAAAATAGTAAACCAGAATTTTTCTCAGGGAAATTCAGAGCTGACTTCAGCGCTCTGTTATTTCTGCCATCAGTCACCATAAACTCTGCTGAGCACATCTGAATTTCTGTTAGCTTTCCCCGTGATGCCAAGAACTAACGAAGTCCACAAAAGTCAGCCCGGTCTTGCTGAAGCCCCAGCAGGCTCTTTGTCCTCCCGGCATCTGCGTACACACTGACTTTTGCTGTGGGTGTGAGGTGGGAGTTTTTCACTACCACACTAAGCACAGTTGTGCTGCAACAGTCCACAGTATAGAGTCAAGCTTATTGTGAAAAGTGTCTCACTTTTAGACACCAGTTTATCAAGCCTGAGGTGCTAAAGCTCTATTTCATACCACGTTGAGGCCCCAGTATGTCTTCCAAAGGTCTCCATGCTGTCCTCATTTCTTTCTTCCCTGGATCTTCATCTCAAGTTATTTATATATGCAAATCGCAGTTTAAATCCTATGAATTTTTACAAAGGCGAGCTGGAGGAAACTGCAGTTCTAGTGTAGACTAGGACCTACTCTAATGAAGTGTCTGTCACACACAGCACCACCAGCAGCCCACATCTTACCAGTCACACTCAGACAGAAAGCTATCAGGCTTCTGCAAAGGTCAACAGCATCTCTTCCAAGTAACAAATTCAAATTTGTTCTTAATTGTGAGTTTTATCTTTGATTAGGGTACTTAAACTGAAAAAAACCTCACGTGTAATGCTGGAAGACAGATCATCCAAAGCACCGGACTGTCAGCTCAACTTTTAAGATATTTATAACTTACATCTAAATATACTGCATCAGAAAAATTACATGCAAGCTAGCATAAAGATAACTTGTCGATAAGCAAGTGCACAGATATTGCTGATTGTCCTGTGCACACCGGTTGCTTTTTCAGTAAACACACTTGTAAACAGAAGCTACTACAGTAAATATGTTTGCATTTGCATCTCAGTAATGTTATCCCTTCAGTTAATACACCCATGTTTGGAGCAGTCTTACTTGGCTATTTAACAGGGTTTTACACAGGTTACAGTTTTATTATAAAAGTGTTCTTTACTATAGATAAAAACTAAGCAAAGGCACTAAATACCACCTAGAGGAAGCTTCCATCAAACCATTTTTAGGTTCAATTTTGGCAAAATACCTGAACAGTATGTTAGAATAAGCATACCAAATTTTTATCGGCACACTTTATGCCCAAGCGCTTGCTGATGGTGCCATCTACTGGTGCAAAGGGCTCCTCAGGCTCATACCCTCTCTCCTGCTTCCTACAGACGAGCTGCACGCAGGAGCTACTGAAACTGAGAGACAGCATTAGAAAATCCCGGGAATACCGTCCGTTTTCATAGAAGCAGCCTTATAACACCAGTCCTTTGATTTGAATGCCTGCCCCCAGCATAAAACGATTAGGGCCAGACAATAAGGCCAGCACAGCCCATGCATGACCGAAACTTCAGCTACTTTCTCGACGCAAGAGCACCAGGCAGGTAAGAACAATCTGTTCCTTTGAGTATGCTGGCTTATCGCCTAGAACATCTAATAAGCTCTTAAGGAACTGCCTTAATTTCTTTTAAAATCTTTACCAGACAAAGGTAAGACAAACTGTTTCAGCCTATCTGGAAACACATCCAGCATTCCTGTTACATGGCTCCTGGAGAGCCATCCACTGCAGTCGCTCAAAGCTGGAAGGAAGAATTTCATTTTTTTGTTCTTGGTGAAGTCAAACCTCAACGCTGCAAGCAGATGCTTCTTGCTCTCTGCAACTAACACATTTCCAAACCCTTCCACTCAAGGCTACCAAAACAAACTAGACAGCCAACCCACCCTTGTTATCCTCTCAGACAATGCAGAGGAGGAGGAAATCACCACAACAGTAACTTGCCCAAGCACATAACAAGTCTGTAGCAGAAACCTGTCAGTGCAACTGCTTCCCCCAGTAACACATACCTTGTTTCAGAAAAGCATACATGACTCCCAGTGACAATGATTAGGGGTTTTCGCAGCATTCTATTTCTGTAAAGTTAAGTACATAATAAAATGCTCTCCTACATTTAATATTTTAGAGTCAATCAGACCAAAGCTCGTTTTGGGACATGTCCTCTGCATCACCATACACCTCAGGAGAAGAACTGCGATAGTTTCCAAGACAAGGCAGCAGAATTCCCTACTGCCCAGGAACTGCACTCTACTCCTTTTCTCTGCACAGCTTCACAAACAACAGCCGAGAGCAGCTACTCCTATAGTCACATCTAACTCCCTAGTTATTAGTGCAGAAAGCCTGCTCACTGTTTTACTTCCAGTTGTATAATCCAAGTTACTTTCCAGGAAAGCCAGAAGGATTCAGCACACACTTTAGCTCTGATCAACCAGTCACGGAAATCTCACTGCAGCACCCTCATAGCTCTGAGCTTAAAGCACTGCAAAGCTCACGGGTGAATGCCGAAAAGATGTTACAAACAAGCTGTTGATCCGCCCTCTGCTGTCTTGGCGTATTATGATCTGCTACAAAGACTTCTCATTAACACTGCTCTAAATACACACAGACAAGCACACCTTTAATCGCCAACATCATCAATGCCAATACCCAAATGGATGAATTACAGAATGCATCCTTCCTTTGCTATACTACAGCTGACAGTTACTGCAGGCATGCCAGGAACTCCGCTCAGTGGATTCAGCTCACAGCACTAAACATCACTGAGACCTGCCCACTGGGGGGATCAAGTTTGAAGCAAGATGTCTCTTCCTCCCTCTATTCCCCAAGTTTGCTTTGCACCACAAAGCATTTCCACAGCAACAGGAAGAGGAAATTCAGCTTCACAATCTGAAAAAGAGGTGATGGTAAGAGGGGTAAGAGCAATGCCCCAGGCCCATAAACGTAACTTCCCCCACATGGCCCACATACATTGTGCACTTGCCTCTGAGCGCCATGAAGTCACACAAACACCAAAGTTTTAGAGAAACATTTATTATAGGGTTGCAGAATTTATGCCAATATAAAGTCCCTTAATAAAACTCTCAAGTTCATCAACTGCAGGACACTAACTCTTCATTATCTTTATACTGCAGCTTTCAAAAAAGGAACAATGCTCTGACTGCAGTAGTAACGCTACTTGCTCATAAAAAGTTGATCTAAAAAGTTTATATAAGCCAGAGTAGTTTAAGTTTACAACTACAGTCACATTCACAAGTGAGCTATACCAGAACAGATTCCTGAAATAGGAAGTTACAGGATAAACCAAGTCATAACCAAAAACACTGACAAGCTTTAAGAGCAACTCTATTGGAATCTAACAACTAAATACCACAAAACCAAACCAAGGTAGAATTAAACGTAAGCTCGGGGAAGGTTCCAAATATACATATGAATTCAATACAGTAATTGCACAAAATGAAAAGAGGGTAGTGTTAGAGATTTATGATCACGGAGGTTGGATTTTACATGCTTCACACATGGTAGTTAAAATAAATCTTTAATGATACTCATCAGAAGGTTTTTTAGCCAGGATACGGAGTGCAGAGCTATTCTACAGAACTACACAAGATGTGCAAACCACAGATTATCAATATTAATCATTCTGTGAAAGTTAAAGGTGAACAGAATTGGTTCCAGCCAAGGAATTGGTTAACTTTTTTTATATATATATATATTTTTCTGCCATTCCCAGATTACACTAAATCAAACACATTCAACAGATAAACTGATATTAACCTTCTAAAAAAACAAAACAAAACCAAACCTTACTCAAATTTAAGTTTTACATGAGACAACTAAAAAGTTATACCAAGGATCAAAGAAAGCTGAAATGGTGACTTTGTCTTTTGAAATACAAGCAATACACAGAAAATGCATAAGGCTTTTGATTATCACTGCACATTTTAATTTAAGAAGTCGACGTCTAATGCTCAGACTTCTCAATGAAGGTGTGAACTAGTCACCTCCCATCCAACACCTTTCACTGTTGACAGATCTTTGTTTCAACAACAAAAGAGTTTTCGAAGTGTCTGATTGAGTGACAGTTCTCCACTGAACGTTTCTGCAGACCTGGGGATGAGAGAAGATAAGAGCCTAAGTAAAGCAGATCTAGAACGCAGGAGCAAATATTTACAATTTTTGTATCATTATGAACAGCAGCAAGACACAATCATTCAGTACACAGTGTTTCTGCAGCCATGAATTGCCACCAGAGCTTGACACTAGTTTGTTTGGGGTGGTTTTTTTTGGTTTTTTTTTTTTTTTTTTGTTTGGTTGGGTTTTTTTTAATCAGAAAGCCTCTCATTTTCAAAATGGTAACAACAAAAGAGGGGGCCACATACAGCACAGGGGACAAAGCAAGCAAGCACTTTTGTCTAGTACCCCGTCACCATTTTAGTGACAGAAGAGACAACACTAAATAAACAGTTTATGACAAAGTTTCTCATAGCCCTTCCTAACCACAAAGAAAAACAAAACCAAAGCAGAT